CAAATGACAGTTTTACCTGCACAAATAAAATAGCACTGAAAAAGTAGATCATTTTTATTCAGTTCAGAGCATATTGGGATAGTTGACCTCTCAATGGCCTAAAAAAATCATCTTAAATTTCTCTGAAACAGCGTTAGCACATATAATTTTTTTATTTTATTTTTTTCACAAATGACAATTTAAAATGCACAAACCTGCACTGAAAAAGCAATAACCAGTCTATTTTCAGAGTTTTTTAATATCGGTGGGGTGTCAGCTTCACGCAGCTGAAGCTACTCCACATAGATGATGTGGTCCAGAGTGTAAACACTGTGCATCTAAAATGCATAGTGGTGAACCCCTGCAGGGCTCTTGGAAATCACCACGGACAACGAGCTCAGTCTAACGCACCAAAACAGTAAAGGTACTGAACGAGTAAAACCAACTGTTTAGAAATATACATTGTCTGGAAAAGGAAAATGCTTTAAGTCAATCAAGTTAGATTTTGAACTTGGCTCTGCAGCTCACATGCTGCATAATTCTGGTAAAGTTTTTTTTTCTTTTTAGCATCAATCTTGGCTCTGTAGTATTTTTAAATCACCTAAGCTGCTCTTCATCAATAATCAACAGGCAGTCCCAAAGTTTCCTTTGTTCTCTGGCAGATTCCTGTTTGTCTTCTGCTCTTTTGTAAGTCAATGTTGCTAAACACATCGTTTTAAACTTTGCTTATTTTTCCTCAGATATGCAGCAAATCCACATCAATTCGATTTGTCTTTCACATCTCCACTGAGTCAAGTTAACACTCCATTATGTTAATCGTTTGATGGATCCTTTTTAACATTCCTTATCTCCTCCTTGCACATCTTGACATTGAGAAATATGATAAAAAGAACAGAAAGTATAATTAAAACTGAATGTTCCTTTTTCCAAAAAAACATAAGCGTTAAGTGTTAAATTTTTTTTTTTTTTGGCAAAATGACTTCTATTTTCATTTTTCTCCAATGCACTTGTGTTGTATTTCTGTGTCAGTACATTTAAACGGGGTCAAAATTAACTATCAAGATCCTCACCGCTTCCTCTTTGCACTTCTTTTGGGGAGTCAGTAAAGAAATGGCTTACCCGCTTCCCAAAAATAATTAAATGAACGTTTAAGCTTCCAAAATGTGGTTGAAGCGGGTCGGTTTAGAGTTTAATAGGCGGAGGAAAAATAAACGAAACCTGAGATAGATTTGACAGATGTAACTGGAAGAAGTCAGTGATGCCCCAAACTGCTCTTGTCAAAAGCAGAAAGAAGAGGTAGGGGTTGACGGATGGAGAGATGTTGAAAAAGGAAAACAAGAGTCTGAGGAAGTCAATAATGTACTTAACCTTCCTCTGCAGGCTCCCTGTACCCCCCTTGTTATTGTAAAGCTCTGGGATTGGTGAAAGGAGAGGAAGAGGGAAAGGAAATAAAAAAGCATGACCTGAAATAGGAAAAGCAGAGGCAGGAAAGGAGAGCCGTGTATATTTTTTTTGTCAGCATAAATGTCAGAGTGGTTAAGTGTGTGCAGGGCAGGCTGGGAGACTAAAGAACAGGAAGAGTCCCATATAAGTGGGAATGGCCATGTTTTACTGCCACATAAATCTGCTCTCTGCACACTAAACTTCATTTCTGACCTACTCTTTTTGGAGTTTTCTGCACGTCTGGAGGTATATTGATTTGGGAATTTCAGAACCTGTATTTCTTGCCATGTCATTTAATGATTTCTTTCTTGATGATGCAGCCCCAAAATTTCTTAAAATGTACAATCCCGTGGGAATATTTAAGTCCTTTTTGTCCATTTATTTGCAGTCTTGCTTTACTCCCCCCCCTTTACTTCCCTTGGCAACAATTTTTTTTCCCCCTCCTGATTTGCATATTAATTTGGAGCTGCAGGCAACTTAAGTTGAAAGATTTGGCAGTAAGGTATTGGTCCGCTGTGAGCTGGAACTCCTAAAGTAATTTTTGACAGATCGCTGATGGATCGGACCCTGACAGGGAGGAGAAACGCTGGTCTTTCTGATGATAGGTGGCAGAGGGCAGTTAATAAATCTCTTAAATGATCCATCAAGTCATATGAGATTGAGGTTTAGCTCTGCATAAAAGCTTCAAGTATCACAATTTGAAAAACATTTTATCAACATTGCTTTAATTGTAAACCATTTGTTGTCCTGCTGCACAGTTAACATTTTAAGGAGTACATTCTATGAAGTCAAAATTCTGCAAAAATTGCCCATACCTAATAAATACTGACCAATTTTATTTAAAACTCCTGCACCTAAACTACTCTCCACGTGCAACATATCACAACCATGAGTCTATGCCCCATCTCTGCGCCCGTTGCTTGTTTTCTATGCGGCTGTAGATCCTCTCCTTGTCAGTTGTGGATCTGTTTCTCATGTCAACTCTGGTCGCTTGAGGGTTGAACCAACCTGTGAAAGTAAAGCCTCTGACTGGTTACTTTTCAGGAAATCCCATCTCTTTAGACAGTGCTATTTTCTTCCTGATTGTGGCGAGTAACTCCCCTCTCCACATTAGTTTTAAATGGATGGAAAGCCAGCTTTTTGATACCAATAACCACCAGCTTATCTTTTCTTACAGTTTGTTATGTTAAATATTGTCAGAGTGGTCAGCAAGTAAAACATGTGGCCGAGAGCCTTTATTGATGCTGAATTTGACCGTGTTCTTTTGTTAGGACCACGTCGGTGCTGATCATGGCAGGTTTGGTGCGATTTTGGCTGCCTGTCTGTAGATCAGGTCATAAAGTTAAAGTTTGAGGTCTGGTCACCCCCACTCCTCTGGATGAAAGTCATGCTTTTAAAAACTTCTCCAGTGCATAAGAAGGGGGAATTGAAACAAGATGGTTTCTTTGGCCCAATAAGAAAATAATGGTTAATTATTAAAATTCTCAGCTACACGCTGATAACCAAGTTGTAAGACATCTAATTTGCAATAACAGAATTGAATAATTGATCAGACTAAAAATATATCAGGTTGACTCAGATGTTTTGCAGGAAGATTATTTTAATTAGATGTTAGAGATAGGCTAAATACTTTAAAAAGTCTGCGAGGCATGAAGAGCTAAAACGGAGCCCTGCAGAGCTTCCCTCAAAATTACACAACATAGAGTATCAGCTATACTATGCAGAATGTGGTACAAACAAATGCTTAATACAACCATAGGCTGCAAAGGCTGATTGTGGTTTGGTCGATTCCCATGTTTTTCATAGATTAAAAATTTTTTAGGCTTTAGATTCTATCACATTTTTTCACTCATCTCAGATTCCAAGTAGAATGAGTTTATAAAGAGGAACAGCGTATTGTTCAGCTATTCAGAAATGAATTTTGGTTCAACTTATGCAAGGAGTTTTAAGAGACCAAATATGTAGTAAATTCAAATATTGACCTCTGTAGTATCTGAGTCGGAGTGTATGCATATCCAAAATATTGATTACCTATTAGACAATAATTTTGTTTTATAAAAGCGAATTGTACAATTGTTAAGAAAATATTTTATCTGTAGAGATCCACTCTTACTTATTCAAAGTTAAAAACCGGCCAAAGTTTGGCTAATTTTATTGCAATGTTCAACACTTTCCACCATGTATTGCTGATCATTTTTATGACTTCTTTTGTTTTCCTTCATTCCTGACATTGTGACTTTAATATGTATTTGTTGCACCTAAACACCTTTTAGACTTAATTGTTCCCTCCAGTCATTGCCTTTTCACCTCCTCTACACCCTAAAAATTTAACTCCTGAATCACGGTAAATGGCAAAAAAAAATAAAAAATACCCTTATTTGTGCAAACTGAAGCCAAACTGCATTCCGTACAGCAATGCATGAATTGCTGAACCTCCAATTGGTTGCAAGGAAAAGGGAGATTTTGTTAATTTGACTGAGTTGATAATACCAAATGGACTCTTGCAATAAATCATCTTTATCATCCTCTTTGAATTCTTGGCTTTCAGTTTTGTTTTAACCAACATATGTAATGTTTTTTGAGTTTAAGAATTATTATTAATGATTAAAGCTTAAAAAAATGGTCTCTTAAATATGATGTGTTTTCAAATCGTGTAGCACTGGTACGGAAATATACGGGTGATTTACTTCAGATGTTGACCCCATAACTGAGGAGTAAATTACTAGAGGAAGGTGGATGCATTTCATGTTTCAGAAAAACCCAGATTGTTCTCATCGGTCCCAAAGCCTTGTAGCATCACTCAGTGCAGTAACTACTCCCAGCATAAATTTCTGACCACTTAAACAATATTTTGAGAAAACTGCACAAGAAAACTGTAAACGGTAAAACTGCAGAAAAAAATTGACACTAGAACTACAAGAACCGAACGATATGAAGCTTTTCTTGAAGCCATCACAGATATTGTTATTAAATCTGTCTGTTTTTGTAGTAAATTTTCAGGCTCTCCATTTTGTCTCTTATTTTCTGTCCGAAACATAATATTGAAATTCTGACTGCATATACCAGATTGACAATATAACAGAGTTGTATCTTTGACGTAGTTTAGAATAGTTCCTTTCATTTGGTGGCATGCAGGATGAGGAGTTACACCCGCATCTTTTACGAAGGACGTTAAATCATGTATATTTTAAAGTGTTCTTGAGTGTCTGTTACCTTCAACCCATAACTGCTTTTAAAAATGGTTCTGTTGGCAGAAAAACAGCTGTTTTATGCTAGGATCCTTAGGTTGTTTTACGTTATTAAAAGCAAATAAGGAAGTATTTTAAATAAAATGCTCCGAGCATAAATTTTGGCTAGATGAATTTACACCGAATGTCTGTTAGGACCTGAATATCTATCCATATGAACTTCCCTGAAAGCCTGGAGAATTAATATCTAAAGGTGATCAGCTCACTTTGACAGATTGGTGCCTAATCATTCACACTTTGTTTTTTCATAGTGAACATCATCTAACTTCTCTCTCTCTCTCACTCTCTCGCCTGTGCCCTCCCACCCCCTGCCTCCCTCACCCATGACAGATGGAGAGTGAAAAGAAGAGGAGGAAATACTCCACAAGCAGCAATGACTCTGACACCACTGACAGTAAGTTGAAGAAAGAGCTGGGGCAAATTGAAATGTGGAGATGTTGCTATCTGGGGAAACCTAGAAGTGTGAAGAAAAGTGAGCTCCTGTGCTGCCGGGGTAGAGTTATTAGAAACATGATTTCAGTGAAATGCTTCAGGGTTTATTCCTCCATTGCACAATTATATGAACCCCTGGCATTTATTTAGTTTTGTTAGCAGCAATAGCACATATGACTGTATTCAGCTGGCATTTAATATCTATATACCAACAAAAACAAAAGAAAGAAAGAGCGGATAAGAACTATTGGAAGAGATAATGAGAGCCCATGAAACAAGTAAAAAAACAACACAGGAGATAATAGGGTAGCACCTAGATGTCTGCTTCACACTTGTATGAGACAAGAGGGACAGAAAACGGAGAACATAACCACAAAAAGAAGACAACAGACAACCAACGTAGACATCAAAAAGCTTCAAGAGCAGCAGGTATCCCTTAGATATCTATGTGTGTGGTGATTACACAATATTATTCAGGCTGGTATATATATCTGTTGCAAAGTATTTGGTATTGGTGTGTCCTCAAACACCTGGAACCAAACTCCCGTGGTTTGTATGTATGGGCATGCTCCTGTGTAAAGGATTTGAAAAAGCCTCTTCAGAAGGAAAATATGCTTAATAGCAGGTATGGGTGGCCCTAGAATAGCCCTACATCGCCCAGGACCACTAAAGAGGCAACAGCAATCCCAGATGTCCAAAGGCACCCCAGATCACTGGGACACAAGGAGGGCATACATATGGATGGCCGTACCCACCACAGAACAGTAGACAAGTGTACCCGACCCCTGAGGGGCCAAAACCCAAAGGAACCCAGATTCTTAGGGGCTTGACTAAGGTGGACCCAGATGAAAGCCAGGGATCTGAGGCCTGGGGAGCACAGCGCACCCTAGTGGGGGACCCCTGAGGGCCCAGGAGGCCTAGGTTGACTCAAGTGTTTTGGGGCATAGGCTAGACCACCAGCATGGGAGATGCCACCCTGGTGGGGATCTCTTCCGCAAGATCCTATGTGTGTGGTATTGTGATAGAGCAGGTGAGGGGACTCATCAAAGATGGAAAACAAAGATCTGGAGAGAATTTTATTTGGACTTTGCATTTGAAAAGCTAACTCCGTTCACCTTTGGAAAAGGAAGCAGTCAACAGCTGCGTCGCCTCTTTCTGCTTTCTTCCATCTTCTCTCTTCTTCTTTTAAAGCCCTGATTTATGCTTTTTGGGGAGCATGATGTCTAAAACCCCAGGTCATTAAAACTGGGCTCACTGACATTACACTTGTCAATGGTTGTCAGATGGACTCAACCGCTTACTCTTCCAAGGTGGGGCCTAGAGAATGGGTTCAGTGGACATAAAGTTCGCTCTCTGTTGATTTTGTCAAAATATATTTTAAATTAATTATGAAGGCAATTAATTGGAGGGCACAAATAATTCTAAATGAAAACATAAAAAAATAACAGGGTTTTCATGGGCCCCCTTCCTACGTGTGCCCTGGGTAGTCAGGTCCATTTTTCAACCCACTACCACGTTCATGACCATAGTGGGTATACATAGTGATCTGGTGCATTACTTGCAAATTGCAAGCAGATATCAAACTGTGCAGAACCCATCTTAAACACTCATTGAAGGATTTTGCAATGAATTGGTTGCAAATTAGGATTTCTAGTCATGTTAAATGTTCTCATACATATTTTAGACTAAACTATTTGATCAAGCCTAACTGATAAATCAAGTTTCCCATTTTTCAGTGAGAAGTGATTTAGAGTAATCTATTTTGGATAAACTCCTATATATTTTAGACAGTCATTTTGGAGGAATATGGCTTAATAAATCCTCATTCATTTTGTTGCATTTGTAGACCTGCTTCATTATTCTGAAATCTTTAATATAGGCCTAATCTTTTGATATTCTAGAAAATTTTATTCTGAAATCCCATATTGTTAAAATTAAGCTCCAAAATTGGATAAAATTATTTCATTCGAATAAATCTCCCAAGATTTATTTTTTAATTTTATTCCTTTCCTGTTTCATTCGGATAGGCTTATAATAGATTTGTTGTTAAAGGTGGGTGTATGGTGGCATAGTATTAGTGAAGATCCTGTCATTTTAAGAAACTCCAACCAAGCTGCCAAATATGAGCTAAACACTTTCTTGAAAGGTTTGGGAACCACTGCCCGGTGTGATATATTTTCCAACACTGCATCCATATATAAACGAGGTAGAAAAGATTTTAGTAAATTGTTGCTCTTTGATTTTGTGACTTAAAGAACAGGGGCAGATATGAGCAAATTACAAAATGGTCCAACCAATAGTAGCGTCAGGATGAAAGGTTAAAAATCATCTAAATTTATGTCCATTAGGTGTTCACAAAGAAAGATATACAGCATTTAAAAAAGGAATATTGTTACTTCTATTTGCCAATATGAGCTAAGCCCTTTTCGTGCATATACATTGTTTCTGCTCTTTAAATGAAAATCTGAAGAATATTTTAGTCATCATATTTATGTTTACAATATACTGATGCAAGTTAAAATGGTACTTACAATAAAAAAAAAAAAATTCCTTTATTTATCAAACCATCATTCTAAACAATGACTTATTATGTTTTTGATTCTTATTTTACTTTACAGAGATTTTTTACTTTGGGGTCAAAGGAAAAAGTATGTCTTTGTTTGCAACATCTGGCTGAAGGAAGGATCATAGGCTGTCTAAGCTGTTCTTTTAATTGATCATGTTCTTAAAATACAGTGATTATTCAAGCAACATCTATATCCAGGTGTTGTTTAAAGTTGTTCTCTAAATTGGGTCTGAAGCTCTTTCAACATGTCATTAATAAGCAAAGAAATCAATTAAATTTAGACAGTTTAAGCACGTTTTGCACTATGATTTTTCTTTTTAAAGCTCAACCCAAAATGTTTTGCAGCCTCATGTAGAAATACACAAGTTAACTCTGTGGCCTTATGGCAGTTTTCTGTAGTATATGATAACCTTACTCTTTCTAATGTGGGAATTATGCTTTATCATCAGTGTTTGTTGGTTGAATTCTGGTTTTCAACCCAAAGTCAAATAAGCATTTGGAGAAATGGTGAAAATTTACAAAATTAGATTATAGGTTTACTTTGCAGTAGTTAAGACTAAGAATTCTGTATTTTGACGAGTAAAATGTTGGGTTAGAATGTATAATCAAACTAATTATGGTAATGGAGTTACTGGAGCTGTTTACACCTTAGACTGACCTGACCTCACATCTGTGTGTAGCCTATTTTACAGCAAGTTTAATAGGCTGTGTTTGCAGGCCTAGCTACCTCAGCCTGTGTGTAAAACTATTTCTTCTTGCTTTTTAACTCTCAGCGTCTCCTGACCTCTGCAGCCCGGATTGCAGCTGCGACTGTTCAGCGGAGGTTATCAGGTTTATAATTGAAGGATGCCCATGATAATTTTGGCTGCTGGGCCTCTAAATGTGGCTTTTAATTAACACACAGCCGCAATGGTCGACTTCGTCTGCATGTTTGGCTATCTGGTCACGATGACATAGACATGCAGCTGCCATATGTTAGCCCTGTAAATGTATCCTGCACCAGATCATGCCCGCTCCTGTAAAAGGCTGTTGTGATCCTAATGTCCAGGAGACTAAGAAATGGACCTTTTAGGCAGCTTTTTTTACTTGCAAGGGCAAACAATAAGCATTGTGTCTGACAGCTATGAAACGATGGATAAGAATTGATTTTCCTTCCTTCCTTCCTTCCTT